CCGCCGGCTAGGGTTAGGGCGTTGTATTGCGATTGGCACTTTATGCTGACCATCGGTAACGGACATTTATCACTGGAGTTTTTAAAAATATGAAATAAACGGTTATTTTACAGGCAGTGCCGGATGGATCCTTTCCCTCCAAACGCAGGGAACTGGGCGGCGCCTGGCTTTGAGAGGAGCCTGTCCCACGGCCCTGACCTCGGCGTTATCGGGGTTACAGGGAGGGGATGGGTGGGGAAATCCCCTCTGCCCCGCGTCTGTCTACCTGGAACCCCTGCCCATATTTACTTCCTTCCTCTTCCCTCCACCTCGGTTTTATTTTATTTTTTTTAAAAAAATATATTTTATTGATTTTTTACAGAGAGGAAGGGAGAGGGATAGAAAGTCAGAAACATCGATGAGAGAGAAACACCGATCAGCTGCCTCCTGCACACTCCCCACTGGGGATGTGCCCGCAACTAAGGTACATGCCCTTGACCGGAATCGAACCCGGGACCCTTAAGTCCGCAGGCTGACGCTCCATCCACTGAGCCAAACTGGTTAGGGCTCCACCTCGGTTTTAGCGTCTCGGTCTCCCCACTCCCTGTCTCCAAAGGGCTTTGAGTTTACCAAGCAGCCAAGGCGGCGGCCAGTCTACTGGCCTGGAGAAGCCCCAACAGCTCGGGCGCCGGGTCGCTTAAGGTTCACTAAGGGAACAACAGCAGGTCACCCCCTCCCCAAGCAAAGCGCCCCGCCCCCTAGTCCGTGGCTCGGGCTTTGCGGTGGGAAGGACGCGTCCATAGAGACAGCTTCCTCTCCCCCAAACCCAGCTGCAAATTCATAATCACGGCTGCCTCCCCAAAGACCCAAACCTACTCCCTGCCCGCTTAGGGCTCCCCAGACAGAATGCCGCGAAGATTCCCTGCAGTTTTCCAGCCTCGTCGGGAATGGCGGGGGCGGGCGCCCTGGGAGTCCCGGGAAGTGTAGGAGAAATCTGAGTCCTCGCTCCACAAGTGGAACCTTCCCCGGGGCATCCAGTTTTCCCACAATTAGAGTCCAGGCCGCCGGGGGCTCCCCTGCTGGGGCGAGGCGGGGCTCCCC